GAGCAAACAACACCACAGCACCCATCAACCACTCACAAGAATGAGCAAATTAGGACAACAGAGGCGCCGAAAAGAGGTAGAAAGAGTAGACCACACCAGAATGGCAGCCACCATCATGATGTTTCTGCAAAAAGAGGGAAGGTGTTGGACAAGTCTGCGAACTTCTGAGGTAACCTTTCCCTGTTCAACTTTGCTGAACCCAGGCAGTCAAAAGCCTGCTACTGGTTTCTCCCACCAATTTTACTCACTCGTGGTAGACTTAGCTAAGATAAAAATAGATAACCGACTACGATAAAAAAAATTGATAGCTGACATATTTCTTGTGAGAAACCTAGAAGTTATTTTAAATTGTGCCATGGGCAAAAGAATGTGAACACTGTGAGGTTGCTTAGCACACAAGAAGTTAAACAAATGGAAAGCCATTGTTAACGAAAAATGGGAACAGGAAAGCATTAAAGCTGACCAACTGGGAAAACTATTCAAGGCGAAAAGGAATGTTAAAGAGAAAGCATCCAACAATCATTTTGGAATTTTTGTTTCAGTAAGAGTTTTACAGCACTTACAATGACAACACAAATAAGTCATGTAAGTGCCGAAGATTAGAGGCATTATAAGAGAGTAATAAACACAAAAATGAAGGAGGCGAGATCAGTTTTATAGATGTCTGATAGGATAGAAGGAGCAAACCCTGCCAGAGCACCCACCATCCATCCATAATCAGCTCAGTAACTAAACTGATGACAGAAACGATTTGGAGCAAAATGATGTGATAAGAAAACATACAAATGTTCCGAGTCCGAAAGGAAAGATTGAGAATACCCTGAAACTGACTAAGTCATAATACACATATAACTATTATTATAATACCAGGCTAGTTGAGCAAACATGGCACAGAGGCACGCAGCTAAGAATCTCAGCAACTTCTCCTCAATCAGACACAGCTATTCTCATCACTCCCACACCATCAACAGATTCCATTAGCCTTCCTTCTTAAACCACTTAAGGGTTAAAGAAAAATGGCAAGACATAAAGACATTAAAATCCATTATCAAGAGTACCTTTCTTCAACCTTTTACGATGCATTCTGATCTGCAAATCATTCTTACTGGAAAAGTAGTGAACTGGTATGATAATTATCTTAAATCACTTACATGAAGCAGGGAAACGTTTTAGAGAGGAAAAAAGTATGATAGAGTAGATCTTACTTGTTAAAAAAGAATGAAAGACATGAACTTTTAATGATTTTCGGATAAAAATGCACTGATGGACAAAGGGAAAAAAAAATTTGATCAATTTGATAAAAAATTTCACAGTGCTTAATGACAGAAGCAGAAGGATGGAACATGTATGTGAGTTCATATGAACAATGAATAAGAATGGTACTCATGAACTGTTACCGATTTTCAGATAGAAAAGCATTGACGGACTGAGCGAAAGAAAATTGAATCAATTTGACTTAAAATTTCACGATGCTTCGTGACAGAAGCAGAAGAATGGGACATGTATGTGAGTTCATATGAACATTCAATAAGAATGACACCCAATGAACTATTTATGATTTTCAGAAGAAAAAAAAAGGATTGATGTACAGAGTGAAAGGGAAATTGAATCAATTTGATTTAACAATTCACAACAATTCGTGACAGAAGCGGAAAAGTGAAACATGTATGTGAGCTCGGGTGAAATATTTCTGCTGTTAACTCACAACCTCTCATGAGGGATTGAAAAAGCATCAAGTATCTCACTCATTGTGTCTTAAGCACGAAACACACTTCCATGATGATAATGATGTGTGGATTTTAGAGGAAAGGTATAAATAGCAACACACAGACATACATTTTCAAAACCCATAAACATATCGATAGCTGGGTGCAAGACTACTGACAAACACCAAATGCATAATATGCCCTAATGGCAAATTGGCATTTGTCAGAGTCTTATATCCAGCCATCGATGAAGATAGAAACAAAGACGGCTCAGTCCTTGTGGAGTAAAAAAAAGAAAAGAAAAAAAAAAAGAGAAAAAAAGCGGCTTGTCAGTTTTCTTCACTTTCATTCGACCGTGTCTTCAAGAAAAAAAAAAAGAAAAGAAAAAAAAAGAGAATTTTTGTGCAGTTTTTGCACGTAAAAAAAACAAACAAAGCCCAAAAGCAAATTACATAGCCAAATGTCATGTTACCTGCAACATGTGATATCATGAACTCTGTTGAAAAATGCCTTCTTTTCAAACAAGGCATTAAACTCTTCATCCCAATCATAAAGACATGAATGAAATCAAAGCATTTGAAAACAACAAAATCATGAACATCTCTCTTCATAATATAAAGACATCAAACACATTTTGATCCCAAATTCTCACAGGCAGTTATATTTACAGAAACCTGCACCATCTGCCATGCAATTCATGCGTAGTTGAACAATGGCACACACTGCAGAGCAAAGAAACAAAAGAAACTTACTTCTTCGTTCGTCTACTACGAAGGTCACACAAAATTGCTTCCACATTAAGCAATAAAAATGTTTCTCATAAACCTTGAATTCCACAACATTCCCCCCCCACAAAACCAAGTCCTTAGAGTGGTATCATAAAGTATTACCATCAAAAGTTAAATGGACAAAAGAATGTTCTATGATTTGTTTATTTTAAAACATTGTGATAACACCTTTGGAAAAAAATATTCTGAAATAAATATGCCTCTTGTTCGAACAAGAAGAATGAACAATGTTTTTAAAAAATATAACATCTTTTTCGACAATTACATTCGAAATTTTAAAGTGCTCACAAATATTAAGTAGGGAAGGAGCTTTTGAGGTTTTCATTTTGTTCTGTGAACACTAGGAAATTTGCAAATCGTAACAAAGTACAAAGCAAACAATTTCCCCTGTATTTAACTTGCAAATCGACAGCCAGCTGTTCAGACGAGCTAATCCCAAAATTTTGAGTAAAAAAAAAAATATGGCAGTTTCTTAATCTTACTCAGAAGCATTTTTGTAAAACTTTAAATTCTAAATGTTGAAAAATTGGACTGCAGAATTTGGGGCCCATTTTTAAGAGAATGAAACAGTTTTTTAAAATCTCTTGTAAAATGTTTTTTTCTGAGCTCAGAACACACAAGCAGCTTGTGACAATGTCATTGAGTTTCCTTATGTATTGCTATATTCTTTTTACCAACTGTGCAATGCCAAGTCAATATTTGGCTTAGCCACAAAATTAGTGAACAGAAAAATCATTATTAGTCAATACCATTATAAAGTAACACCAGAGACACAACTGTTGAATTGAGTAAAATGAATGTCAAGGAAACTGTTTCATCTTCACCATTACCAGTACTCAAACATCTCATCCCCGTGCCAACAATAAACCTCCTTAAAATCTTCAGGATAAAAAATGACATAAACAATATCATAAAAAAACAGAGGCAAAAGCAATAAAAACTACATAAGGCCAAAAAAGTAAACAAAATAAGATTTTAACTTTACAAAAAAAGAGAGAATAAAAAAAGCAGGCAATCAAATAAACAATCCAAAGTAAGGCTGAAATACAATGGCCACTAAAGCTTTCCCTAAAGCTTTCCAGATCACAGCAGGAAATAAAAGGGGAGAAAAGACACAAATAAACAAGAAAAGCTTCAGTTAAAACATTTGCTAAGCAGCTAGAGAACATTTTCATACAGCTGTGTTTTCCTAATTTCATCTGTGACTATTTCCTATATTCCAAACCTTAATCTCACTAATTTTATATATTTAAAAAAAAATTAAACTCCTTTTTCCTATATAACCAGAGGTATTTTCTCTTTTAAGACAAAATGGAGAGGGTAGCTCATGAGCATATTTTCAAAATCTAACTACTTTTATAACTACCTTAGACCCTCTATGAATAATCTCTAAGAGATTTAAACTGTAAAAAGCAGTGCAGCAACACAATACAATATCTAAACATCTGATTATTCGCCGAAACTATAATCTGTTTGGGCCCCATTTGCTCTCTTTTGTCCTAACCAGGCAAATATTTTTGCTCACATCTTTCTTCTGTGACTCCCAGACTAGCCATGTACGGTAATACTCTACACAATAAGGCCTAGCAAGTCATACATTTTTACCCAAATACATCGTCACTCAAGCAAGAAAAATGAGTAATTCCATTAACCCTGCTTAACAGGGTGAGTAAAATAAAAATTTGCAGCTACTCAATTTTCTTACCACAGAAACGATATGCACATTCACACCTTGATAGGCTACGTCCATCTTCACATATCATCGTTATCCTCATCACCATCATTTTCATTAACATTGACAGATCGAAGCTTCCGTCTCATCTCTTCATTCTGAGTTCCCTTGACATAAGCAGACTGAGCCGCGATATTCCCCCTGGTATCGCCCACCACATTGCCCACATTCTCAACTACAGGTTTCCCATCTTGCATATCACCTACATCATTCCCACCTAACGTATCACCCAAAGACTTCTCAACCCTTCCCACATCATCATTATTATAATTGTCGATATTATTATTATTTTTGTCGACGTTACTCTTGTCAGCACCAACTACCTGAGAACCGGGCGGCGCAGCAACAACAGCAGCAGGGACATCTTTTTGGTCAACAACAACGGCCGGGTCAGCCCTTCTGTTCTCATCAGCGCCCACAGCGACATTACGCTTCACTCGTCTAGCCTCGTCGTCTTGCAGCTGTCGAATTTTGTCACCAGCACCTCCTGCTGCAGCTAAGCCTGCTTGATTTGTGTCAACCACAACAGGTTTCATCTGACCGTTGACTAGCTCTCGTTGTGGCTGTTGTTGCAATGGCTGTTGCTGCTGTGGTTGTAGCGGCTGTTGCTGCTGCTGTTGTAGCAGTTGTTGCTGTTGCGGTACCTGCTGCTGTTGCTGTTGTTGTCGTTGTTGCTGTAGTGGTTGTTGCTGCTGCTGCTGTTGTTGTACCGGCTGCTGCTGCTGGAGCTGCTGCTGCTGTTGTTGCAGCAGAAGCTGTTGCTGCTGAAGCAACTGCTGCTGCTGTTGCAGCTGCTGCTGCAGCTGTTGCTGCTGTCCCAACAGATGGTCTCCCGGCTGTTGGGGTTGCGGCGGCAGCACACCTTGCTGCTGCTGCTGGTTACTGAGCCCTGCAGGCAAATCCGCCACCATCGCTTTCTGCTGGCTGTTGTTGTTGCCAGCTGGGATGATGTTCTGCTGCTGGCCTTGTATATCCGGCTGCTGGTGCGGCTGCAATTTTGCAGCTGCGGCGATGGGGTCATCCACACCTCGAGGCTGCTGCTGCTGCTGCTGTGGGACATTGCCACCATTGTTATTGCTGAGCTGGACAGGCAATAGCTGCGGGGCTCCGACGACCTGGTCTGCCTGCCTCTGCTTCTCTCCGTCTTCTAGCTGAGCTTTCTGAAAATACCAAACCAAGAAAAAACATAATACATACCAAGAAAAAACATAAAACATAATAATAAATAATAACCTCCATAATGGAGTTCACTTAAACCAAACACTCTTTATCCAAAAACAGCAAAAAACCAAGCACTTAAACCAAACACTTTTGATCCAAAAACAACAGTAAATTGAGAAAAAAATGAACACAGGTGCATTGGCAAAATGTGGAGGGGTTTCCATGGTCTAGAGAAGGAGAGGGAGGGATGGAGAGAGGGGGGGGGGAAGAAGGAGAGAGGAACAACAGAGAGACAGGGGGGGTGGTAAGGAGAGAGAAGACAGAGTATGCGTGAGAGAGAGAGAGAGTAGGAGAGGAGGAATGAGAAAAAGGGGATGAGTGCAAGACAAACAGAGAAGGGAATGGGAGGAGGGAGGGAGGGAGGGAGAGGAGAGAGAGAGAGAGAGAGAGAGAGAGAGAGAGAGAGAAGGATGACTATTATTGGGTAGACATGCATCTCATTTTCTAAAGAAAACCAAATAGGTCATATAAGTGCCGAAGATAACATTAAAGACTTAATAGGAAAGAAGGTGCAAACCACACCACACCAGAGCACCCCCCACCACCCACATAATGCTTTTCAATGGCCCACCTGTTTATCCTTCTCATGGTGATCTTTGAGCTCTTTCAGAACTTCCTTCTGTTCTTGTAGGAGTTTCTCCTGCTCCTTCTGCTGTTTCTCCAGCTTAGCCAGGAACTGCTCCTGCTTTTTCTCCTTCTCTTTCTCCTTCACTTCCTCCTCCTGTCATGGAGCGAGAAGATGGATTTCAAGACAACAATTGACAAACATTATTGCAAATGCACAAATTGTTTGAACAGAAAAAAAAATATTTCTACGTCAGAGGCCCTGCTTTCATTTTGGGGTATGTAGATCAGTTACCTTATAAGTGTGTTCTTTTTTTTTTGCACAGGGAAAAACAGAAAGCTGTAAAAGTATCATTTATTTCCATCCTCAATACTTTCTGCCATATCTCAGTTTTTCTCAGCTATTTCAAAGGCATTAATTCAACCCGTTTGAGATCTTCTTTAACTAAGAGAAGAAATGTTTATTATGCATGTGACAGCCCTAATATCCTGCTCTGAAATATTATTAATCCATTACTATAGTTCTATGAACGGTGGTCCCGAAAAAGTTACTTATGACTAATGTAAACAAATACATATTTTTTATTAACAAATTTGTGGATACTACTCCTTCATAAAGAAGTCAAATATTATTTTATCTCTTTCATTGGTTGATTGCAATTTACAATGTGGCTTTTTAAAGGTTCAAGATATTGCACTTTAAGATAAAAGAATATAAATTCAAGGGCAAACCCGTAAAATAATTTTTTTTTGGGTTGTTGTTGTTCATGGAAATGCCTTCAATACAACAATAGTTTTAAAAACTTGCTTTTGGTAAAAGTTCAAGTATATTGTGAAAGTTGTCCACTGTAAACGGTAAAATAAAACAAAAAAACAACCTTGTATTTCATAATTCTTCTTTGCTTTCAATAACAGTGACTGCAATAGAGTCCGCTTAAACCAAACTTGGTTAATCTGAAAACAGCAGTAATTCGTAAGAAAATAAAAGCCCCACTTTGTTTTCTTCTGTTTGAGCACTTTCTCTGCACTGAAAGCCCGGCTAAGCCGAAGAAAATGCAGTGGTCCTGCAGATTTGGCTTCCAACAAACTCGGACAGTATTTCTTAACTTCTAGGCAAGATTCTCTCAAAACTCAAAAAAGCAAAACGTCATTTTGAAACATTGCAGAGCTATACAACAGTACCATACCCCTAAATATCCAAGAGCCTATAAGTTCTTCATTTTTGCTGGTTGCATCACAATTTGAATTAGTGAACATTTTTACCCCGAGTATGGTCTAGAAAAAGCACCCACTAAATAGACAGTTCACAATGTACAGCAACACACTCAACATACTTCCAACTTTGAAATACACAGGTTTTCCTAAACTTTATAGGTTCTTTGTTTTTTTGTAAGCGTTTTACAGCGTTCGCAACAGTATAAGGTCATATGAGCGCGCGGGACACATTAAACATTTTCAGTTGGTTGGAAATTTAGAATTTTGTGCTGGTGGCGGCCAAAGCCTGCTCTTATCAATTTTAGACCACCAACTTGCACAGGGGACCTCCGAGATTTTTCGCCTTGTCCCAGAAGGCTAGGTGTAGATCTTTCCTACCAGAAGATCAGGGGTGTGACTGAAAAGCAGCAGTAAGAAGGAGCCAAGGAGTGGCAGTAGGAAGGCTGCAGAAAAAGTCAGGAACCCAGAGGAGGGGGCAATGTAGGTGAGGGGGTGGGGGCAGAAAGTGGATACGAAAGCAGGCAACAGAACATTGCAAAAGGGCAGGAAAGGAGGTGGTAGGAGACAATATTAGAGAAGAAAATATTTCTTTGCGTTGCTACCCAGATTCGAACCCGGGACCTTTGAATGAGAGGCGAACACCTTAACCTCTAAGCCACGAGAGCCCCCCCCCCCTCCCCCTCATAAGTTCTTTTGTTCCAAAAGTTTACAAGTGCATATTTAACCCTTTTGTTGCCTATGAAATGATGTACCTGATAGATCATGAAAATGCGTAATTTTTAGCTTTGTATTGTACCACATACATCACAAAAGTTGGTGAAATTTCCCATTCTTGGTCCCCTGTATAACGTTACATGTACGCCACGTTAGTTATCTGGCTCTAATTCTTCTGTACTGAGCACAGTGTGGATTCATAGTCGGGAATAAAAAAACGTGCATTTCGAAACCAAATTTGCTAATATAACTTTACTGGTAGGCTTGCAAGCTATCAACAAACACAGGTCTAGCCTTGTGGATGGCTGCGTGTTCTAGTTTGACATAGACACCAAATTAACTTTAAAAATTTCCACTTTTTGAGTTAGATTTGCAAGTTTTTCGAGATCATGAGTATGATCAAGAATATAGGAAATGAAAAGAGTGTGGAAAGTTACACTATCAAAGACCCAGGGTTTTAAATATGTCGTAGAGGGATAAATACAGACTGCAAGTCCATTAACTTTGAGAAACAAGACTCCTGTCCTGGCTACCGAGCTTAGCTGAAAATGAGTGCTGATAGTAGGAATGTACACCCTCTGGAGACAAAAACACTAATACTCCTCTTCTACTTACTATAGCTTTCTGCTCCACTTTTAGAGTGTCATCACCTTTGACCTTGTCTGCATCAGCATGTTCATTTTTATCCGGACCTTTGTCTTCCTGTTCGCCATCTTTCTTTAGTTCCTTGTCCCTATCATCTTTCCTCTTATCAATGATGTCTTTTCCTTCATCAAGTCCTTCCTGAGGAGGGAAAATTCCAACAGGGAAATCATACGTGAGACAGCGAGGTGAAATCAGGCGCTCGTCAAAATAACGAAATCAGAGACACAGGCATTTTGCCGCCAGTTTGAAAATTTTTCTCAAATTCTTATTTTTTGGCTTAACCTCTTTTATGTCGTATAAAAACACATTTCACTGCGAATTTTGCTGAAAAACTTGATTAAAGGCAAAAAAAAAGGTAAATTTTCAGTTTCTAAGGACTCTCAGACTATGGAAGTTACCAAACTTTGGCGGCCATTTTCTTGCTAATTTTAGATCTGAAACCAGACAGCCTCACTTCCTTCAATCACAAATATTTCGAGTTCTATTCAAGATAGATGGATTTTTATTTCATTGGAAGCAAAGCAAATAAATCAGCTTTCATATGATACCAGAGCCTCTACAAGCCCAAAAATTGACGAGCGCCTGATTCCACGGCGTTGTGACACATATTATCTCTTGTACTTATGCATGAAGTAGTCCTTGATTCTTGAAGCAGGGAAGTTTACAAAAAAGGTCTAAACAAGGAGCATAGGAGGCAAATTATTCTTGCATTATGAAAGTAGAGTTCAATAAAAGAAATATCCTCATATGCTATCATGGAGGTTAAATAAACTACCCTGTGCTTGGCTATATAGAGAAATATATCTATGAGATAAAGGCAGCTATTTAAAATAAAAAAACTTTGAATACAGCAAAAAGTGCACTACAAACATTAAAGGCTTCTTTCTGTCTCATAATCATACCTTCACATTGTCACCGTTTGAATCAGGAGGATCTGGAATGGGTGGTTCTTTCCTTGTATCTCCTTCAACTTCATTTGTGTCTATCTTTTTCTTCACATCATCACCACCTGAGAGCAAGAAATTATTCTGATCTCAAGTATCTGATTTCAACAATACAACAAAGCTCATTACTTACCGAAAGGGAATTTTAATATCATACACAATAAAATCACAAAACAGATCTCATCTTGATGTTATGGAAAAAATGTTGCCAAATTTTACTACAAATATCCATTGTTACTTAAAAACAAAAAACAAAAATTATTTTTATATTTACATGAATATGTACATTGAAAACTATCACTATCACATTCGTTTCAAAATCTTAAACCTGAAGCATCAATTCTTAAAAAATGGGTTTGAACCCCCCCCCCCCCCCCCAACAAAACCAACAAACAAAGTAACAAAACAAAACAGACTGAGCTCAGTCAGTTCTCTCACCTTTCAGCCCCAGGTCTTGATCTAACCCGAGACCAGCTGGTTTCTCAATCTGCCCGTCTCGGATGTTCATGAGGTCATCTGGCCTGTCCAGGGCAGGAGTTACTGCGGTCAGGTCGCTCCTCGGCTGGTGGTTGTCCTGGGAGCTCAGTGTGGCATACGTGCTGACCAGCAAGATGGTGATGCCCAGAAACAGGACCAGCTAGAAAGGAAAGAAGGCAGCGAATAGTTGTTTTTCTCATAATTTAGCATGAAATTGACGTCACTTGAACATATTTTATCACAAAACTTATGGCACTTTAGAAACAATTAGTCTACATAAGTGCCGAGATCAGAAGTATTTCACAAAAAAGGAGGAGGAGAGAAAAAGACTATAGATCTTAGATAGGAAAGAAGGAACAAACGACATACAGAGCACCCGTCAACCACCCACATAAAGAAATGGGAGAATGAATAGGTTTTTAACATTTCAGTACGTTTTACGGCACATAAAATACAATCAGGTCAAATGGGTGCCTAAGACTTCAGGTGTTACATGAAAGTAACATACTAAGAAAAGATGGAGGACTGATAAGAATGATTGATAGGAAAGAAGCAAACCACACCAGAGCAACCACCAACCACCCACAAGAGTGAATAAATGTATGTCATTATCTATTATCGAAAGAGGACACTTATTCTCAAAACTACACATTTCATGGCATATATTTCACCAGCAGGGTGGTAATGCTGAGAAACAGAACCAGCTAATAAAGAGGGAATACAGAGGTGGGAGAGTGAAAGGTCTTAAAATTGCACATAGAAAATAATTGAGAGGGTGCATAATTTATTCTCACATAATAATACAGACAAATTTTACAAACACACCATTGCTAGTCGCTGCTGGGCAGGGTCCTGTTTTGAAGCTCAACAGGTTTTAAGTAAAGTTAGGAAGATAATTAATCATGAGAAAAAGCCTGTCTCGGTGTTCAAGCTCCAATACAGGTATTGATAGCTCTGCCACTCTATGAAATCTACAGATCAGGATCTCAAGGGAAAAAAAACCCCAGGATCTGGTGTGAAAAATCAGGACCACTGACAAATGAGTCATGGGTGACTGCCAAGTTGACTTCAAAATTTTCCAGGGGTAACCATTCATTTTCCGAGAGTACATATTGGTGACAGTGCGTTTCAACATGTTCATAAATTATTATTGTGTGTGTGAGTGTGAGTAAAGCAAAAAATCAGGATGCAGGAAATCAAAATCATGAAAATCGGGACACCGGGATGCTTGAGATTTGGGGCAAAAAATTGGGACACCCTCTTTACAGATGTGTCCCCCACTTTTTATAAAAAATAAATGTGTGTTTTTACGTGTCCGCTGACACAATTTAAATTATTTAGGAGGACGGCTTCCAACCCTGCCCTTCAGGGCTACCCCGACTTGAGAAGGATACAACATCCCAGCAGAAAGACAGAGATACTCATTAAAAATTTTCTCCACCCAAGAATTGAACTCAGGCGAAGTGTCTCACTGCTACACCACAGATGCCGGTTCTCCACCTTTGACCCTAACAAAGACCCTGTGAAGGCCAGGCCTACCTGAGCCACTGTGCGCCCATCAGGTTTGCTGCCCATGACCCGCATGAAGAACAGAGCAGGGAAAATGTAGCAGATGAGGGTGCCTGTGATGGCGCCATTCATTCCAAGGATAAACTCCACTGAGATACATCAGACAAAAAAAAGGTTTTACAATCATTTAAGTACCGAAAATGAGAGAAGTTACAAGAGAGTAACAGGCACAAAGAAGGAGGTGGAGTGATAAAGACAAAAGATATTTGATAGGAAAGAGGAGCAAACCACATCAGAACACCCACCAACCACCCAGGAAAAAAAAAGTTCAGATACAGGACTTTTACATACTGGTAATGTCATCAGGACCTCTACGAGAAAACTTACTTTACATTTTTATATCTTTTTAATGTTTGTATTTTGAACTCCCATCATCAAAATTTAAATAATTTAGAACCCAAGTAGCTTAGACCCTGCCTGTCAGGGCAAACCTGGATTGACAGGAATACAACGCCCAAGCAGAAAGAACGAGATACATGATCAAAATTCTCCCCATACAGGAATTAAACTAAAGTCTATTGCATGCAACTGCGAAAGGCCTAACCATTACACCACTGATGCCAGTCAGGCTCTTTACGCTATTGTATAACTCATACAAAGGTTAGAAATCAAGTATCAGAAATATCTCTCAAGAAAAAAAAAGCTCAAAGCATAATATGGTTTCTAGTAAAACATCACTGCATAAACCAGTGAAAAAATAAAGAGTTTTTTTGTGTTTTTAAAAAAATAGTAGAGGGTTTTACAGCACTCGGAACTGCATAAGGTCATATGAGTGCCAAGGGGCAGGTGTCAACAGAGAAGTCTTTACAGGGAATTAGACTTACTCTGCTCACCTCTCCAGCTTCAAAAGCACAAGGTCTGCTTCGACTATCAAGGCACCCCGGAAATAGCAGGTCACAAGAGAGTGACAAACATTCAAAAGCAGTAGAGGAAAAAATGACGATAGTAAGGATTAGGAAAGAAAAAGCAGCAGTCCCTTGTTGAAGTTCAAGCACAGTTACTAGCGTGACATGATGAATCAGCCCATTTACAATTCTACTGTGCTTGAACAAGAAATGTCCCCCCTTTGGGAATGGCCTAAAGACACTACAGTCAGTGGCACTGCCCCGGGGGGGGGGGGGGGGGGTAAATAAAGAGTGGAATTGTACTTTACGCCAAGTCAGTACAACCCATACATATCACCGGAAACAGGAGACAAAAGTTACACTGCAAAAAAAAAAAAAGCAGTGTAAAGAACACTTGACACAAGAGCACCCTACACCCCCCCCCCCCCCCCCTTCTTTTCAGACATAAAATACAATAGGACAAAAAAGAGGAAGGCACAAAGGGAAAATATGGGGAAAACCGTGTGAAATCAGGGGAGACATAGGGAAAATAGTAGAAAAAGGGCAGAAATGGAGAGAGAGAGAGAGAGAGAGAGAGAGAGAGAGAGAGAGAGAGAGAGAGAGAAAGAGAGAGAGAGAGACAGAGAGACAGAGAGAGAGAGAGAGAGAGAGAGAGAGAGAGAGAGAGAGAGAGGGGGGGGGGATGTGACCACTACCAACCATTAGGAATGAGTATTCCGGTGATCATGGAGCCAAGCACGATGAGAATGGTGATCAGTTTGAAGAGATTCTCGGGGATGTAGCCCTCACTCTCCATCACATCGTCATGGGGTTTGGCTTTCTGAGGAGGAAAAAATGACATTTTATATTCTGATTTCCAGGTATAACTTCTTCTTCTTCTTCTATCCCGTGGTTGGGGCAACCGTTGGGGCACCACTGCATTGGAAAACCAGCTCTCGCCATCCATTTTTGTTCTCTGCTCTCCTCAGATTGTCACCCATCGTCTTTCCTGTCCACTCTGTAATGTTGTCCTCCCATCTCCTTCTCTGCCTTCCTCTCTTTCTCTATCCTTGTACGTTTCCTTGCAGGATTGTTTTGGCAAGTCCTGTGGATCTTGTGACATGCCCATACCATTTTAGTTTTCGTCTCTTCACTATTGTCAGTAGATCTTCATATTGCCCCACTGCGTTGGTGATTCTCTTTCGTACTTCAGCATTTGAAACGTGGTCTTTGTACGAGATGTCAAGGAGTCTGCGGTAAGATCTCATCTCCGTGGTCTGAATCTTTTTCTCTAATTCTGCTGTTAGTGTCCATGATTCGCAGGCGTATAAAAATATTGAGATGACCAGTGAGCACATTAGTCTAATTTTTTAGCTGTGCGTGATGTTTCTGTCCCTCCAAATAGGCTTCAATTTTGACAGCGCAGCTGTTGTTTACTTATTTGTAAAAATCTCCCTTGACTGCACAAAATTCTGATGGTTGATAAGTATATTTGGTCGCTTTAAAGCACAAGTGGGCTATCCCAAAAAATGCTGTTTTGAGAAAATCGAAGGTAGTCTTTGGACCCTTGTTCAGTTTCTTTAAAAGACAAGGAGAGTTTTCTCTATAACCAAACAAATATACAAACCAATGAAACTAAACTTCTCCTGTAGGTACGGCAATGCCCACTTTTGGTGTTGGTCAAAATTTCAGGAAACCCCGGAATCTCGGTTAGCCCGCTTGTCCTTAAAAGCGGCCATTTCATGTTACCATATCCCTCACTTTTCAGTGGCTACATTCAAATCTGTAATATGATCATACTGATACTAATCTACACATTAATGGTAACATAAAATGTGAACAAGGTAAATTTGCACACTTTTTCAGAAAATCTGGTCCATAAGACATTACCTCCCCCTGTAAAAAAAAGGCCTGGTTTTCAACATGAAGAACCATTATGGGCATACCTTTTCTTTTTCTGACGCAACCTGTTTTACTTCATCCATTTTGTATTCACTTTAACATACATATAACACATGCACTTTATTTGATAATACAAATCTAGTAACTGTCCTCTCTCAATAATAATAATTAATAATAATTGTATTTATACAGCGCTTGTCCACACTCTACAACATGCTCGATTTGTTTTACAACTATTATTACTCCAGCAGACCCAAGAACACTCAGAAACATTTTTGGCTTCCCGGGAAGCATACAGCGCTCAAACACTAACAAACAGATGAGATCTTTCGCTGCCTATAGCTGAAAACCCATATCCATCTGAGTGAAGCGAGGAAAATTCATGTAATTTGCCTTTCCCAAGAAAACAATGTTGGGCCCCTGACAGGATTCGAACCCACGACCTTCCAGATGCCAGTCCGAGGGCCTAACCACTAGGCCACTTATGTCAAATCCTGTTTGTCACATTTACGATACACTGGTCTGGCACAAACATGGAAAATCCATTATGCATTATAAGAGCTAAGAGACTTTAAAAAAACATGTGCATCATGTATGTCAACCTCATGCTCACAATATAATTTGTCTATGTCATGACAGCAACACTGGCAATGTGCACTGCACAGACCCTGACCAGTAAATAGATTTTATAACATTGAGTGATCCAGCATTCCACCTCTCCCCCCCCCCCCTAATTTTTGGGCAGAAACATTCCCATTTCCCAGACACAAGGACAGCAACCTACCCGTGCAAAGAGCAATGTATAGATACTAGCTCGGCACGGAAAGATGATAACAGGGAAGGTGATGACGATGGAGAACACGAAACACAGCTTCATCATCTCCGACACCAATGTGGATGGGAAGATGGCGATCACGTCACCCGGAATGTCTTGGGAGTAGAAGGCAATGTAGCCGAAGAAACCCACCTGGTTTTGAGAGGGAAACAAAAATCAGTTTACAAATTGCTTATCATTGCTGTTGCAGAGTGGCTTTTGTTTTATGATTAAATGAAAGTTTTAATAATAATAAATAATAAATAATATATAGCATTTGTATAGCGCATATCCCCGCTCAACAGCAGGCTCTATGCGCTTTACACTATATTATTACCCCAGCAGACCATAGAACACTCCGAAACATTCTCAGCTTCCCGGGAAGCATACAGTGCAAGCAGCTGATTAAGCGCTCACACACTAACAAACTGACAAGATCTTTCGCTGTCTATAGCCGGGTACCCATTCCCACCTGGGTGAAGTGAGGAAAATTCGTGTAAAGTGCCTTTCCCAAGGACACAACGTCGAGCCCCTGATGGGATTCGAACCCATGACCTTACGGTTGTGAGTCCGAGAGCCTAACCACTAGGCCACCGACGCCACATGTTACACAATTAGATCACACAAATGCCAGAGATTAGAGGTCTTACAAGAGAGAAACAAAACACAAAAAAAGGAAAGAGAGATAAAGATGATAGACGTTGGCAGGAAAGAAGGATGGGCTACCTATTTCCAAACAACACTATGACTGCTCAATACTTTAACAGTTTTGGCAACGTCAGAATATGCTAAATCCCAAGAAAACCTCACCCACCTCACATTTTGTACCACTCATACTTTTTACCACCATACAAAGTGCTTAGTTACAAAACATGCATTACTTCATCCAGGAGCAGAACTTAGGAAGGGTGGCTGCAGCAAGTCAAACAAGTATATAGGTACAATCGATTTCTGCTCTAATCGCCACCTGTCATAGACAGTCACTAGTAGGAAACCACTTCTCTTTTTGCACTTTTTCTGTATTGTAATGCCACTGTCCAAGTTGTCCACCTGTCTAAGATAACCACTTTTCACATAAACAATGGGCGGTCCGAATTTCAGCCGCAATTCACATTAACTCTTTTTTGTGTTCAATGCACCAGTACAGAAGTGCTTATTGTCTCCTCTTGAAAAAGGGCTTAAAAATCAAGGTAAAAAGTAAATGGAAGCAGAACTGACCAGCAGGTAGGCAACAGCACACAAGTTCACGGCACTGCTGATCACACCGTTTATGGCTTTGAGAGATGGCTCAGGGAGAGCATCATACACCAGGAACAGCTGACTGAACAGGACAGAAGGAAGGGTGAAATCAGATACAATAAGAAAGGATAAAATCAGAAGGATGGATTAAGACAGATTAATAAAACATGACATAAGATAAGTAGAAAAAGGTAAAATAAGTCAGGATAAAAAAAGATATAAGAAAAGGCAAAAATAGGACAGGATAAGAACGGATGAAATTACACACAATAAGAAAGAAGAACAAATAATGAAATAAAAAAAGACAATAAAGCAAAAATAAGACGGATGAAAAAATATAGGAATAGAGGGGAAAAGTAAGAAAAGAAAACTAATAAAATAGAAAATAATAAGAGAAAACAGAAATAAGAGGGATGAAATATTAATAGAAAAGAAAACAACTGTACGAAAGCACTACTGAGGAAAAATCAGGTTAAGAAAAGGTAAAAATAAGGTAGATAGAATTAAATAGGAAAAATTGGGGAAGAAATAAGATATAAAGGGAACAGAGAAAGAAAATGAGAAAGATGAAATAAAATAGGATTGATAAAAATAATAAGAGGTAGAATATGACAAAATTAACTTTACATCCCAATACTGAAAATTTTGAAAGAGCGCAAAGTTTAAAATGCATTCAAGATGTAAGAATACCAATATACATCATGACTACATTGCAGTCTTTCTCAGAACAAATTGATCAATATCTACACTGAGACGTTTCCATGATATTTAAACAGATCAGATGTAATCAAGTGGCCCATGAACAATATTATATTGCTACCCTGTACATCTTAATAAAGCAGACATTCACTTTTTCCATTTAACTTCTGAAAAAAAAAAAAGCTTTTGTCCCAAACAGAGATTTCAAATAAATGTCTTTGAAATTGATAAATGATCTCAGGTGAAAATACAATTAACACCAATTCCTTAGTTTTTCTACTCTTTATGTCTCTTGATTCTTCGACTACTGGACAAAATATTTTTTATATATATATATAGTAGAGGGTTTTACGGCGCTCACAACTGCATAAGGTCATATGAGCGCCAAAGGGTGGGTGTCAACAGAGAAGTCCTAACAGGGGATCGGACTTACTCTGTTCACCTCTCTAGCTTCAACAACACAAGGTCTGCTTCGACCATCAAGGCACCAGGGAAATAGCAGGTCACAAGAGTGACAAACATACAAAAGAAGTACAGGAAAATGACAATAGTAAGGATTAGGAAAGAAAAAGCAGCAGTTCCCTGTTGCAGATCAGGCACAGAAATGAGCGTGACATGATGAATCAGCCCATTTACAATTCTACTGTGCTTGAACGAGAAATGCCCCCCCCTTGGGAATGGCCTAAAGACACTACAGTCAGTGGCACTGCCCCGGGAAATACTAATATGACAAGGGTGCAAATAGTTTCAAAATTTCAGAACTTAATAATAATGACTAAATGCATTCTCCTTTCACGTACTCACTACATAATGAACACACACGACTAAATTTATGTTAAACGTTGGTAATAATAATAATAAATAGAATTTGAATAGCTCACATAGTCCCGCTCCACTGCAAGCTCTATGCACTTTTCACTATATTATTACTCCAGCAGACCCTAAAACCCTCAAAAATATTTCAAGCTTCCTTGGAATCATACAATGCAAACAGCTGATTAAGTGCACAAACACTACTAAACAGAAAAAAATCTTTCATTGTCTACAGCCTGGTACCCATTGGCATTCCCACCTGGGTGAAGAGTGGAAATTAACGTAAAGTGCCTTTCCCAAGGAGACAGCGTTGGGCCCCTATCTGGATTTCAACCCTCGACCCATCATTTACACGTGCAAATACAAGAGCCTACCCATTAGGCCATTGACACCACAATTTAAGATAAATTTTGGTATGCCTGAATTAAAAAAAAAATCATAAACTTGAAAAAAAAAATGCCTATAGTCTTTTCTGCTCATATGTGTTGAGCTGCAGCAAAAGTAGAGAGCACACTGTTAGAAAGTAAGCATACACGTAAACAAACTTAACAGCTAAAGAAACAAACAGATGTATTATCGAAAACAGTGACCTAATTGTGAGGATAAGAGTTCAGGCTAAAGGCATGGCATAAATTATTTACATAACTAGCCTTAACCATTTACATGTTTGATGCTATGAAAGTTTAAAAAAGTGGCACAAACACCATGAAAGTAAAGAAGTGGTACAGAAAAATCAGAGAAGGGAAGAAAGGCGGGGAGAATTAGTGGATATCGAGAGTGGAACAAATAGTACAATGAGTACATACGTTTGGCATCCAAATGAGAAAGACAAGATAGGTAGGCACTGGAATAGTCCCTGAGGTCGCCAGAAGTTAACAGACGGGTACCATGCACCTGTCCACAGGTTTGGCAATGAAAGATACAGTACCTGAGGAAAGTAATGAAATATGCGCATATTGAGTTAATAAACAAAACAATAACATATCAACAATGGAAGCTACCCACCTAGCCCTTGACGGAAAACTGTACCTCCCATTGATATCTAAAGACACAAGAGGCAGGATAAATAAAGTAAAGTAAAGCAAAGTAAAGTAAAGTAAACATAGTATATTAGACAATTTAAGGAAAGAAACTTTTATTGTCCACTTGCATGCATTTTTTTTTGGGGGGGGGGGGGGGGGGGAAACTGCCACTTACCAGAGAACAAGAAACTGCAAATATGCAACCCCCATCACAACTCATGATGTTCTCTTTAGAAATCAACAGTTCCGTGTTAAAGTAGTCATTTTGATCCAACACTATCTCTTGAACTTATCCAGACTGTGCCCAATAAAGATCCACGGATACCCTTCCCTCATTAACTGGGATCACTTTATAAGCTCGAAAACTATGAATAAGGCAGAGATAAAAATTGCAAAGTAAGCAGAAGAAGTACGAAGTCATTCACCATAGAAATAACAGGACTTTAGACTTTATAAAAATAATATGGTTTTTTGTTTTTTGAGTAAAGAGAAACACATCAGCACAATTATAGGCATTTAGTGCTAGGAAAAAGTAAGACTGACAGACAGACACAGAACAGAGGGAAAGTGAAGAAGTAAGACCTACTAGTGGTGCCCTCCAATCACCCGCTAAAAGAAATTGCAAAATTAGAAGTCACAGGCTTTTTGACTTCCAGATAATGATAAAAAATTGATATTTGAAATTCTACATCCATTTTGGTCTGCTATTATTTTTCGAGCCCTGTACTCTATGCAATATCAAATTCTACTCTAAATCCTACTCTTAGGAAAAAAAAAAACTGAATAAAATTGAATTTCAAAGAACAAGATAATTGTTGTGTTATAGATACAACGTCCCTTACAACACTGTCCCGTTATTTAAGAGTCAGGGCCTTCAAATTAAACGTCCATCTCTGACGGGACCCAGCAAAATGGGTGGGGAGCCTTTAAAACTCCCTAAAACAACCCAAATGCAAGAATACCCTATTGGAAATTCAAACCAGGGCCATCTGCTCTATAGTCTGACATGATACTAACAAAGCTGGCAAAGCACTCGAAAAAAAAATTAAAACTACAAAACCCCCCCCCCCCAAAAAAAAAAACAGCCTCTCCATTATTGTGTATGCAACTTTCATAATTTGCTGTAAAATAAAAATGTGCATTTTCACTTCATTTACCTCAAGTTGCGAACAATCAATGGAAACCGAATTCAAGAGGAAAAAAAAAAAAATAGATTTTGCGCAAATACCATTGAAGTCCTTCAAAAGGCAAAATAAAATCAGAGTACTTGGCCATCTGCAGTAGAATGAGACAGTAGACACAGTTGGTAAATGTGAGGTGTGCTGACAAAATGAGTCGCTTCTCCCACTCCACAAATGGAGATTCATGCATTGGCCAAAAATTGGCATTAGGGTCAAACTTGTAGATTTTTAATCGAGTCACATTCTTTAAGTATCACATGCCCTTAATTATTTTATACTTATAAATTGTAAAAACTTCACTCATAAGTGTGATGTATCTATTTCCATCGAGCTCAAATCTGAGATGTAATTCAATTGTCAGCATGCTTCACAAATATCTCTAAACCAACACAAACTGAGCACTCATATAAAGCACAAAGACACAATAGAATGAGACAGCAGACGGAGCTGGTAACTATCTATAAACCAACACAAACGGAGAACTCACATAAAGCACAAAGACACAGTAGAATGAGATGCAGATGGTGCTGGCTCGGCTGACTGCCCTCAGGTTCTTCAGTAAACCCAGTGGGAGGCCAATGCCCAGGCACAGCAACACGATGAGGAATGTCCGCAAACCAGAGCTGTTCTGTTGGAGAAATGTAAAGATGAGTGTGGCTTCTGTGGTCTTGTAGTTTGGCCGTTGGGTTCATAACTGAAAAGTCATGAGTTCAAAGCAAAGGGGGACAATAGAAAATTCAATGATATCTATTATTATTTGAGTTATGAGGGGAACTTTGTAAATAAACTTGACTATGAATGTTGTTAATAAACTTAACTATTCATGTTGGGAACATACAAGCTCCCAACACCAGTAGAAATAGAAGATTGATTTTTATTAGCACAACTGATAATTCACAAGCATTTGTTCATGTATCTGAGCCTGTCAATTTGGGAATCCCTGTGAATGCATTATTTTTTGTTTCCCGAAATTCTGAAGGGTCAGAGCATGATGGAAAGAATACGCACAAAAATGAACATTGTTCTTTTATACTTATGAAAAATACAAATAAAAGGCACACACATTCACCAAGACACACGTACTCTTGGAAAAGGGGATGAAAGGGGCATTTCAGACACAGGATAAAAATAAAACAAGCAAGATGAGGGAATAGGTATGACAGAGATGTTTATCAGAAGGAGCAAAAGGAGATTTAACTCTTAAACTGGAGGCTGTTCTACTTCTGTATGCAGCCAACTTTGTCATCCAATTTTTCAGTATCTCAAAATTCCCTATAACTCTGCTATAATTTGACCTATGAGCATAAGATAAACTTTGAACAGTGTACAATTGAATTCTGCATGCAATAAACATAGCTTGATTAAGGGGAGATAACAGGGATTGTATAACATGGAGTTCAGTAGATCTTTGATAAAACTATAAACAACCAAGCAATGCTGTGTGCAAGCTGAACTGGTGTGCTGTATACTAAAAAGTTCAGAAAGTGAAGGAAGACAAAAAGACACAAGCACTAAGCACGTAATGCTTAATCTTCATGCTATATATTAATCACATCAAGCACAGATTTTAACATTGACTCATGATCCTCTGTTATAAAAATTTATCATGGCTTTTCTAACAGATCAATTTGACAACAGTAAGAACTTGTTGTTTTTAATCAATCCAGCAACAGCTGGGCTCTCGTCCTTCTGTCCAATATCATGTAGTGACAAGGGCAGGTTCGCTGCAGCTTCTGTGATGTTCCATAGAGTGTGTTATCAATGTTAGGTCTCAGAGGGAAAAGGGTTGCTCTGATGTCATTTAGGGCTGTACACTGGAAAAGGTGATGATCCCCAGTCTCATATGCATAGTCACACAAAGGACACATTGGGGAAGTTCTGGTTTTATTCCTGTATATGTTCTGTTCATAGGTGGAAGATCGTGATCCGCTTCTTTCTCTGCAGCTGGTTGATATTGGGATTTCCCTTTGTTGTGGTCATATGTTTGAAAACTGCTCTGCCTGTCTTTTCCAAGGCCCATCTGTTCTTCCAGTCTAGTTTGCTGCTGCTTTTAATGATTTGTTTTGCAGTGTTGTATGAGATTGGTGTGTTGGGCTGTTCCTGTCTAAATCCCCTTTTGGCGACGAATGTGTCTGCTCTGTCATTTCCAGGTATGTTTGAATGTCCAGGAATCCACTGCATCACCAGGTCGACGCCATATTGTTGGGAGCCAAACAGTATATGTGTCAAGTCTTGGTTTCTATTGCTTGCAAGACTGATAGTGAGACAATAAAAATCAGAATACTCTGCATTTTCTTTTTAAATGAGTGTAAAAAAATGTGCGAAGTTGGTATAGTGCTGTTTCAGTTGCCATCATATCTGCATTTTAGTTGTGCAACTATCCATCAGTGCCAAGCAGTGTCTCCCCCCCCCCCCCCCTCTTTAAAAAATATTTTAAAAAAGATATTATATTTCATATATCAATAAATACCAAAATATCTCCACAACAAACATTACCTTGTGTCTCTGACTCCAAATCAATTACTGTACTCTGCAAAAACACCCACTAAATTACAATAACAGAAATGGAGAGAGAGAGAGAGAGAGAAAAACACCCACTAAATTACAATAATACAATCTTTGAGAACAATATTGTCAGGAACTATTTTGCCTTGCAATTTACCTCTATGCCCAACACTTTTGAGATAATGGCAGGTCCCAAGTCACCTATGACGACAATCTGAGCGATCAGGGTGCCCAGCTGCATGCCAATCATACTGAGAGAGAGAAAAAAACAACCCAGCATTTAGCTTCAACTCACAGACAGACAGACAGACAAATAGACAGACAGACAGACATACATATATACGCACCATACATAGAGCATGCTGTAGATCTTGGATATTCGCTATATAAATGCAATTATTATCATCATCATTATTAGACACTCACATATACACACAGATACAGATACATCATAAAAGCTGAATCTCAGAAATTTACAAAAAATAGAATGTCACTCCTAGTTATCAGCCTCAGACAAATCATGCTACTACAAAGAAGACAAAAAGAGAAATAGCAGAAACTGATAAAATGATCAACAAGTGAAAATATTCTTGCATGTCAGAGAGAACTGAGATTAATCGTATCAATATCTGTTGAAAGTGCAAAATCAAATAATCCTACACATTGAATGTTTCAACATTAATCTTCTATGAGATACAGATTTCAGTAAAGAACATTTTCAAATGGAGGTGTTCACTGAAGTGATGGGCATTGACAGCAAGAGAGACAGGTTGACCAAAATGACAGCAAGAAAAGGTCCCAATAAAATTATTAATATCCCACACTCTCAAACAAATTTTAATATCACAGTAAGCAAAAAAGAAAGAAAAAGTTATTCCAACAATAAACAACATTTAACACATAGATTACCCCACTTCAGAGACCAGTTTCCCCGTTGCACCATGTGTGTGGTAAGCTGCGGGAAGAGCAAAAAATCAATTGTTGAAGGAAACAAATGGTAAACATAGAGGAGTAAACAGACAGGGTGAACCTATGGTCCAAATATGTATTTTTCCTGCTACCAAATCAGTACAGTGTATAATATACATCTTTTAGCATTAAATGGAGATGTGAGCAACTCGTACAAAACATGCACCTTACTAAATTACTTCATAACTGCCTCAAAAATTAAGTTCAGTTAAGACATTTATTTAATAAAGCTAGGAATTATATTGAACATAAAGAATGATTGTTCAACAATGTTCCATTTCTTAGCTCATACTATAAATTGAAATAAATTCATTGTTCTAAGCTTTTGCTCTGGTTTAATAGCAGACAATTTTCAGTATGCCAGTATTTGAGTATTCTTAACTTTGAAAGTAAAAGCACATATTTTAAGACTGTTACAAAACGCAATGAATGTGGCATATTTTAACAAGGCAAGAAGGAGTCAATCACTTACCTAAAAATTCATAAGACCTTCTGCGGGATGTGATTCCTGCTTTCATCAACAACTGACAGGAAGCAAGAGTGAGCCAAGTGCAGAACAGTAACACCAGCATGCTTAGCAGAATGCCACACTGAGAACATGCAAGGTGATAGAACTATGAAATTACACTTTATGTATACACAAACCCAACCTTCAAGATATGCAAAAAAACCATTATAAAAACATTAACTGTCTTCCATTCTCTGACTACATGAAAAATCGTTCCAAATCCGACGATGGCTTAGTTAAGAGGTTTGAAATTTATACATTTTAAAAATATTTCTTAGGTTAGGGTGAACATTCTCAAAATATAACAGTTACTTTATTTAATTATAGTTTGCATATAACTATAACATATATATGTCAGCAATATTTAATAATTTCTAACAAAATTAGTGACTTTTTTATTTTTGCTTCTGAGTTATTTTCTAAATCATTTAATTAAGTCTTAGGATTGCTATCAATTGACAAATTCAGATTCAGTCAAACAAATCCAAAACCTAAAGACTTAACCCACCTGTTTAAAGCAAAAAGGCATAGCCAGCACGGCTACACCAATGATGCTGTTTCCTAGGTTGATAATGTACGGCCAATTGTTGTGGCCCCCCATGATGGGTCCTTTGAGGTCAATTTCTGCCTCGGGATCAATCTTGCTTGCGAGCTGGCCACTCTTATTGCTGCTGAGCAGACCAGAATTAATACAGCCAAATTATACACGATTATGTGACAAGCCAAATCACCCTAGTGGTTAAATGAATTCAAAGTAAGATTCCATGAAAACAATTGGCAAAAGTTAGTTCATTTTAGCTTGCGCAGCTTTTGCTTTGATGTTGCATCTCAGTAATCAAAAACAAAAAAAACTTCATCAAAGAGAAAAGAGCAGTGGAACATCAATTTATAGGAATATAGCTAAAACTAGTATTGAGAATAACATCAACAGAAATCCCTGCAGCTAATTGTTGTCAATCTCCACTATTCTTTTATCTGCGGACCCAAAAAGGCAATAAACCTTAAGTCCTATAAATCTCCCTGCTGCTCGAGGTCAGAACCGTTGTGCTGGTGAGCTGCTGACAGCGGATCAGGCACATTCCTTTACGATGACTTCGACATCAAATTACTTTTCGCTAAAAGCTGAAAACTGGTCTATTTTCTCCGGAGTCCGTTCATTAGATGAAGAACTATCAAAATAGGTCCACTTGTTTTGATGTAATGACCAATTTACTGACGAAAATGTAATTTTTAGATTTTGTAGCAAAAGGAAGGGACAGGCAGAGTGGGTTTACCCTCCCTCGGAGATAAAAGAGTTAAAATGAAAGTTCATACTGTGTTCTGTCTGGAGAAGATCATTTCCTGAAAAAGCCACAAACCCTGACTAACAGAGAGAATAGAAAGGCAGTAGTGCAGAAGGTAACCGGTTCATTTTTATATACAAAGGACTGGTCTACTATGTGACTTCACGGCTATTTCTTTGGCCAGCACATTTGTTTTTAGTCGAACCTTATAGGTGTCACATTCAGCCATAATCCCATTGTTGTTTCATCATCATCATACTTACACTCCGTTTACATAGGTGAAGATATGGCATGGGAAATTAAAGTTCATGGTTTTACCAGTGGGAGCGATGTAAAGGGTGTCTAAAAAAAAAAGGACCCACTTAAAAGGCCAATAACTCTGTCATTAGTACACTAATTTTAACAAAACTTAAAACATATAATATTTAACTAGGGGGACATCAAGTTCATACAAATAAAGAAAATCCATCTACACCTCCGTGAAATATCAAATTAAAAAAATTTCAACCAAATTTGGGTAAAGCGCAAAGTTTCACTTCTTAGAAATGTTCAGCGACAGGGGTGTGATCAGCCCGTTTTGGTTTCAGGACAAGGACGGTAAAACCATGACAGTCACATCAGATGGATATCTCACCATGCTGAGAAAGTTTTGAAGAAGTTTGGGGAGGAGAAGGTATTATGCTGCAGAGGCCTGGTTCCAGAAGGGTGGGGCCACACCCCAAATGTTTAAATTAGCCCTTGTGTTGTTGTAAGAAAGGTTTAGAGAACACTTGACTTTAGAGGCCGAAAGTTTACAAATGAATTGTCACCACCTTCCCCCACACTTGAGCCCTAAAATTATTACCTTCATGGGTTTTTTGACAGAGAGAGTCTGCGGAAACACACCACAAACAATTGAACAATTGAAACTCAATGTTGAACTGGATGTCCAAAGAATCAACCCAAAAACACGCCAAGGGGTTATAATTCAAAATTTCCAGTGGCATGTTGGAGCTTGTAAGGAGAGAAATGGTCAACACCCGCAGATTTAACTAGCCATCATCTCCCTGGGTTTATTTGGCAATCTAATTTTTTGCCTAAATTTTTTTCTTCGATATTACACAAATAGTGACTATTTGAAATAGACCAGTGTGGTTGATTTTCAAGAAGTTGCAAAGTTTTACGTTTTACTCAATTTTGGTAGATATTTTTTAAACTCCATTCTATTCGAACATGGTGGTTGACTTTGCATTTTGACAAATGTAATGTCCCCCTGGTTGAATTTCATTTCTTCAGAGTTTTGTTGAAATTGGTACAAAGATTACCCACTTATTGCCCTTTAAATGGGTCCTCTTTTTTTAAACAAACAATACAATAAATTCCTCAATAGGTCTAAATAAAAAGGCCAAAATATAAAGCTACAAATCAATCAAACCGTATTGTCCACGCTTTATAGGAACTTCATTTACTCGGATTTTACAGGAAAGATGAAAAAACTATCTATAATTGTTAATGTAAACGCAAGCTTAGGCATTCAAATTTTTTTTAAAGCATTGTGGTGCGCCTAAAGACAAAATCCTTCCAAGTAAAGCAGTGTGTTTTACCTTAACGCAAACTCAATCTGAATTAGAGATAAAATATTCTTTGGGTAGGGAGTTTTTCCGTCTTTAGCGAAGCTCTATTGAAAATGGCTTAAATGTTAGCGAGGTAAGACAAAGCAACCTGTGGCTTTAGGCTGCTCCACTCTAATCTCACTATCTTTGGGTTGTCAAATACACACTTTTAACATACTTTGGATAGTTTAACGTACCAATGGCAGGATAGTGAACTACTATTTTATACATTTGGCACACATGTGAAAATTTCTCAGTTCCTCAACACATCAAGTAAAATCTATAACGAAAGTGACCATGACGAGGAAGATAGCGATGTTCAATGTTCACCGACCAGAGTCGCTCAACTAGTGTGCCATTGTAACCTCACTACAACGGATCACTTACATCATCATAGTGGATGGCAAGGTTCTTGCAGAATTTAAATTGCCTTTTGTGTGCATCTGCAGTATGAGTCTGGATTTAATACTATACACACATTGTGTATGAAGGTGAGAAATCTTTTGGTGTAAAAAAAAAGATTTTTGCCAAAATTCACGCAAGCGCATTTCTATCAGAGCTGTGATTAAGTATCAACATTTATAGGTCCAACTGCACACTTCCCTCACAAGGCACCACCAGCCTAAAACCTAGTCATGAATGTCTTTTCACCGTTATATCATTGCCTCTGAAAAATATTCTAGACTTTGTCTTTTAAATTTCATACAAAAGCAGGTATAGCATTTTTTTAAAACAGTATACAAAATGTAGAGACACACAGTCAGTATTGGATGGGCCTGAGGGGTCTAGGACTCCAGTTCTATCAGGGCTAGAGTGAAGTGAAGGCAAAAATAGCTGGTGCTGCTTTTTAAAATAGTTACTGCATTGTTAATGCATGTGTCTCTGCTGAGAAACTTTAACCCAAATCAACTCAGGCAGGCAGAATTCTGAAAGACAGAGAAAGTTCCAAGAAGAAACATCCAGCTACTGGAAAGCTAATTGAAGAAGATGTTTACTGGAAGGCTGTGACTGAACTGGTGCCCATACTAACTGGGCTTATACGGCTTAGCCTAGATAAGCAGCAAGAATAATTAGGATAGATACAGGCTTATATAATAGTAACTTGAGCAAAAAGAAGAAAAAGCAGACAATACCAAAACATCTTACTTTAAAAAATGGCAGCGGCTATTCGGACTACAGTCCGAATAGCCTCCCATGGCTATTCTGACTCAAGCTCCAATGTGTCGCATGTAGGAAACCGTTTCTTTATAATCTAACTAGATTGATCTTGGAGCCACAAGGACCAGAACAGAAAGGAAAAAGAAAGTGTTGCTATACAATAGATTTAATTTAAACTCTTATTCCACATAAAAGGCCTTACATGATTAATGGTCTCTTCTCAATCTAACAGCATACCCTGCCGACCCCATCCTTCGCCCCAACATTTCCTCTTTGCCAACTCTTTCCATCTCTCTCTTCCCCCCCCCCCCCCTTTCTCTAGAGTTCTCTCTCTCTTTTATTTATTTTATTGACACTTAACAACAACGTGGGTTCAGACGTGAGCAAATTTCATATTTTGGTTTACCCACCGCCACTGGATACCCCACAATCCTATTCAGGCATTTTAAACATTCTCCTACTTAATAAACTCCTAGGCCACCTCTATTCTCACCCCGAGTGAGAATAACGCAGGCGAGTCTTTTAGCTATTCTCACCCGGTGTGCATTCACCTTATAGCCTAGATCTAGGCCAACCAATTTTGCATTCACCCTGAACCATAGAATTCTACACTGTGATAACAGAAAAATTGTAGAATTCTGTGCCGTGAACAAACGTTCCATTACTACTGTTAGCCTAAAAGCGTACAATTTTGTCTGTGGGCATTTGAGAGAGAGAGAGAAAGAGAGAGAGAGAGGAGTAGTGCGAGAACGTCCAGGTAAAACAAAATGGCGACCCGCATAGTTCGGCTCGATTCGAAAAGTTAAATAGCCGTAGCATCTTTGTAGACGACCAAATTAATTTACTTTTGTGTTTTAACATCATTTTTTAACTTTGTTTTGGTCAATTTGATCATCCACATACATCGATAGACAGTATTCAGAAAGAGACAGAGAGAAGAGGGGAGAGGAATAGATTTTGCGATAACTTCCGGGCAAAACAAAATGGCGACCCGCCTAGTTTGGCTCGATTCGAAAAGTGAAATAGCCATAGCATCTTTGTAGACGATCAAATTAGCTTACTTTTGTGCTATAACGTAATTTTTTCTTTGCTTTTATTAACGTAATTTTTTCTTTGCTTTTATCCATTTGATCATCCACACCGATAGAAAGTATTCCGAAATTTGGAAAAGCAGGTCTTGTTTCACACCGGGTGAGAATAGCCAACGGTGGCAAGTCTCATCCGGGGTGAGAGGTCAATCGTATTTTTATTCTCACCCCGGGTGAGGATAGCCACTTCCTTTACTAACTTTGGGAGCTTCGTTAAAGTGGCCGTGTTCCTCCAGTATTTTTGAAAAGTCCAGATGCATATTTATCTGCGTACGGCCCCCTTAACACCAAGCCTTGCCCTTACGCAGGTAGGGCGCGTATGGTCCCTTAGCACCAAACACTATGGGGGCGTACGGTCCCTTAACTTAGCGCCAAACACTATACTATGGGCCATGGGGGCATACGGTCCCCTAGCTAGGCCCTAGCGCCAAGCACTACTGGGGCATACGGTCCCCTAACAACAGTCAAATTTCAATTACTAAACAATGTTAAGCCTTCATCTAAGATCTCTATAGCAGGATATAATGGCCGGCCGATGGTGATGAGGCTGTACTGTGACTGTGTTGTGCTGAGATACATGATGCAAGTTCTGTTCTGTGAAACTGTGATGGGTCGTGTACATATTATTGCACCGGAGTAGTTTTTCATCTTGTCAATCATGACTCACTCTGTCTACTACTCCCCTCTATGTCTAGATTTAGATTAGATATCGATTAAATCTACCAATACCATCTGACATGACGATCAATCAATCATTCTCCTGAATTTTACATGTTTAAAACAATATTAATTTACTAACGACCGATATAACACACGGAAGATCAGACAACAACAGTGTGCTAGTCTAGATTCTAGTTTCTACAGTCTACAGTAGACTAGAATCTAATCACTTTACATACAGCTTGATTTACATGAATGGCATACCAAGACCACAGTGGTTATAGTTGACTCTGTCAATTGTCCATTTCGGTCAGTTTATTTTAGTAGGTCATCACTGTAAACAACACACGTATTTCAACAGAGAATCTCTAATTCCACGATCTTGTTTTCGTTCCACAGTGTCCTGTTGGCAAAACGAAAACGGAAGCTATACTTTTATATGTCTTCACTAGTAAAAGAGCTCTTTTATAAATTCCATTCTTTCCGTCCCGTGTGGGGGTATTGTAAAAATCAATGGACAATGGGCGTAAAATAATTATAATAACTTATGAAATATTATTAATTTCCTGAAAGTCTCGATTCTGGTCAAATTTTATGGATTTTGAGATGTAGACATCCTTGCCTCTCTTACAACTATCTCACTTAAGAACCCATTATAAAGCCTTATTTTATTACATACCAGTCAGGTGTCCTCATAAAGCAAAACTTTTTACTTTTCTTTATCGCCCGTTTTCTCAAAACGTAGTTTTTCTATAGGCCGATAATTTTTAAAAGTAAATCCTACTTTTTAAAAATCCGATTTTCATGAATTTTTCACGTGATGAAGAGAAGATGTAACGCTAAAAAATGTCTGTTTAATTTTCAATATAGGGGCCTATGGAATAGATTTTTGCTGGGGGTGTCTGGAGTGTGGACTTTCACTGATTTTTTGAAACCTTGAATACTGATCCTCCTCAAGATATAAATTCATTTTAAAATATTCTAACTCGTTTAGGAAAAACATTCAAAAGACTGTTATTGGTAGAATTTCATTTGTTAACATACATGCAAAATAACACCTATTTCTATTGAAAATAATCGTGGTATTAACTACATAAGTCATGGCAACAAAATCCAATATGGTCAATGAAATATTTTTCTAAAATTTGATGGTAGATTTGACGACTGTTTACTATGCTTTTAATGCGTGTAAATTTGGGTAAAATTTGATACTCAAATAGGCGAGATAGCCCTCAGATATAGGCCCCCTCCTTAAATATAAATATAGAATATTATTTGCGAGTCTGCTTTCTAAGCTCAAATGGACTTAACTTCGCTGGGCTGGCCAACCGTAAGAATGGTTGATTTCTAAATACCTCAGGCAGCATGTATTTTATTTTGGATTGTCCTCAAAGAAGCGCAAAGATGAAGCGCAAAAAAGCGCTGCAAAGACATAAAAATGTCTCTTATACAAAGGCATAGATTTACACAAAAATCCTTCAACATGGAAGGTTGGGGGGGGGGGATCTGGAAACCAAGAGAGAAGGAGAGACGCCTGCAAGTTGCACATATCCACAAGTGGAAGTGGACCTTTTGAATGCTCAAAAGGTGGGAAACTTTTCCCTGACAGAATTGGTCTTATTGGTCATAACAGCAAAAGCCACAAGCAATCTTTGATTAGTCTATTTCGATTCAATGCAGATGCATTGGTCATAATCAGATTGATGGGTGGACGATTATTATAAGGCCCTAATTATTGGCTTAATTATAATATTATTGTATAAATCTGCCCTTTGTTTAGTTGTGTAGGCCTACACGCTAAAAAAGTGAAAAATAATTATAAGGGTAAAAAGAACTGACCTATCCAGTTCGTCCTCCTGAGCTGATTCGCAGTTGCTGCCTGGAGTGCTCTGTTGGCCTTCCACTGAGGGTGAAAAGGACTCCTAAAGGCGTGTATTATGTTAACAATAAAGTTTCATCGTTAACTAGCTGTTCCATCATAACTTTTTGACTTGTATTCAAATAAACAAAGTACTGTTCTACAAAAGAACAATAAAACAAATTATTTTTTCATTCTTGATACGGTACTTGGTGTAATTGACGGTCTACCTAATACTAATTGTGAGGCATCATGGTGAAATAAGGTGCTCGTCTTAATAATGCCATTGAAGAAACCAGCATTCTTTCGGCCATTGGGCACTTTTCGTTGATTTCCCCCCCCCCCTTTTTTTGGGGGGTGCAATACCTTTAATGTCAATGTAAAAAACACACCTGGGTGTGAGTTGTATTGAATCTCTCTCTCTCTCTCTCTCTCTCTCTCTCTCTCTCTCTCTCTCTGATGATGTTTATCGAGAGTCTCCTCAAGGTGTGCCCAATCCATTTCCATTTCCTCACCTGTATGTCTTCCTTTACTTGCCTTTGGCTTGTTCCCTCCCACAGTTGAGCATTTGTGACTCGATCCCCACTATCCTTCTTTTATGAAGCTCTGCAGTTGCCTGCAGTTGCCTGCAGTTGCCTGCAGTTGCCTGCAGTTGCCTGCAGTTGCCTGCAGTTGCCTGCAGTTGCCTGCAGTTGCCTGCAGTTTCCTTGCTGCTGATACTGTAAACCTCCGTTGTATTGAATAACGTTGATTTAAGGCACGCAAAAGGTGTATCAGTTTCCAAAGACTCTCAAGCTTGGGAAGTTACCAAACGTTGGCGACCTTTTTCTTGCTTATTTTACCTCTGAAAACAGGCGACCCCACCTCCTTCAATCACAATTAATAGCTTGACTTATATTCAAGATCAAAGGATATTTTTTTTGAAAATGCAAGGAAAAATAAACAGGCTTTACGAATATACCAATAACTCTCTATGAATACAAAAAATTGACGAGCGCCTGATTCCACCGCGTCGTGACACATTAAATTATGGATCACGGTCTTCCTTTGCTCTGACAACTTGTTAGAGGCATGGTTAGGGCAATGCACTTACAACTATAACATCCTTGAGTTAGGTTTTCGATTTGGGTTATGTTTACGATGACCGTTATGGCTACGGTTTGGGTTTGGGTAAGGTTTAGGGTTAGGGTTATGGTTTGTATTAGGGTTAGGGTTAGTTAGGGTTAGGGTTAGTTAGGGTTAGGAGTTAGGGTTAGAGTTAGATTAGGGATAACGATAGGGTAAAGGGGTATGGAACAATCATAACTGCCAGACTAGCTCTGCGGTAGACCGTCAAGTAGAACCGAAATATCGCGGCAGACTGTCAAACGGACTGGCATCCTTTAAAAAAACACCAAAAAACCCCAACAATTTTTGTTGTTCTTTTTTTTTATAGGGTGTGGCGGGAGTCGGTGGTGAAGCGATGCAGGGCGTACGTGAGTTTGCTGCAGATGTTTGTGGCAAAAATGACGTACGTGCGTTTGGATAAAAATGATAAGAAGGGTGTGTTTGTATATCTATGAGTTTGTTAGTATGCTATGTGTATGTAGTCGTGTGCGCCCACGTGTGTCTATTCGTGTCTATGTGTGTGTGGTGAGCGATGGATATATATTATAT